GGGGGGGGGGGGGGGGGGGGGGGAATCAGAGGGTGCTGGGAGTATAAAGTGGCCTTGAACTAAAAAAAGATGTACAGTTCTTTAGGGAACATCTAGAAATGTTAATTGTACCTAATTAGTACCCTGAAAGACTTCCCTTCTGTTAAGTCTTAAATACCTCTTGAAAAGTAGCAGTGCACTTCCTGTGCCTGGAGCCTCAAAGCTGCAGATCTGCAGTGTGAGATCTGCTGTCTGCTAGTCTCACCAGATTAGGTGAGATATTTAGTGATATCACTAAGGAAAAGCTGTACCCAAGGACCTGCACAAAAGGATCTCCCTACAACGTCCTTTCCGTGGATCAGTACGTCCTCCACCTCTCCTGCTTCTTCTTGAATATTCCCTGATAAAATCTCACCAGTTATCAGGGGGCAGCTCTAACATGAGGCCCTGTCTTTATCAAGATGTCTGTCTCCACACATGCACGGTGCAGAACAAGTTCTGGTAAGTCCATAATGTGTAAAAAAAAAAAAAAAAAAAAGATCACCTGCAGGGAGCTTACAGGCAATACTGGTGACTAGTCCTTTGCCATCTGTTTGCCTTTTTTGGCGCAGCTTCCCCCATTAAGTGATGAGAGGGTGAAGAGGATGAAGGATCATGGGATTGGTGAATGAAGCGATGAGTGGTACAAAAAGAACAATCGTTCAGAAGATACTAAGCTCAGAGAGCAAAGTGGCTGAAGTGTAAAGAGGAAGAGGGAATCAGCGTGCTAGGCTCAGTAAGCAAGGTAATCAAAAAATGGAGAGGATAATGAATCTTAGAGACTCAATAGGCAAAGTGACAGAGTCTCTTTAAAGTCCCCAGTTATTGTCATTATTCCCTTGCTCCATTGGTGCTTCTTTCCTTCAGGAGTTATACCCTATGAAGGCTCCATGTTGGAAATTAAACAGAGCTGGCAACATCCTCCTCGCCATGACAGTATGCCTGGAGATGGGTCGCTAGACTTTAGCACTGCATCATACGAGGAGGTCACATTCTTTCTCATACCTGGAAACACTGGGTATATTGCAGTGGCTCCAATGGGGAAAAGGAGGAGCGGTGGAGGGTTGGGGAAGGTAATATGTTCTAAAGAAACTCATTCACTTTGCTCTTAATCAGGAATATCATACTATAGTCCGAGTCCTTATCTGTATACTTGTTCTAGGTCAGTGACTCAAAGCATTAAGTCACTGTCACCATGACAGCCAGCATCCTAAAGAGTACGTAAACCCAAAATCAAAGCTGTAATTTACTTGTTTCAGCAGACAAATGTGAAAGCGGTTCATTTTTTTTTTCCAATGTGTGAACTACTTTTTACCAGTTCTTACCTGGAACTCCTGCCAGTCATGGCATAGTCTTTTTGGGTACTGGAACTGGATGACAAAGCTAAGTCCCAGCCTTTATTGCAGCAGTGGTGTTGTCACCCCACTCTGCATTCTCCTTCAAAGGGACTACATGCGACAATCCCAATGCACAGCATGCCAATAGTCCATGTGCTCAGCTAGTTCAGAAGCTCCGCCATGCCTCCAGCACCACTGTGCAATGCTTGATGGGCAAAGTTCCTCACACAGCAGCAAGTAATCACGGGCGTTAAAGTCCCATAAGAAAAAAAAAAAAAGGTATTTGAAAACGTTATCAACTGCTGAAACATGCATCATCCCACTACTTTAGGAAGGAGACCTCAGCAATGGAAGCCACCATGTTTCTCCCATGACGAGTTCATTAAGTGAAGTAGTTGGAGGGTGAGGAGAAAGCAGGATTTTGACGGTGATGATCCACGGTGAGTACGTTGGTTTGAGGGAGCCTTGATCCCATTACTGGGTGTTCAGGAAATACTGAATAAAAAAACAGAACACAGAGACACATTCCTTGTTGGAATACTTATTTTATTCATAGTTAAGTCTTTCTATCTATTTCACATTGAGATGTGGCTGAGTAGCCATTATATACCTATGCTACCAGGCCCCCAGGACACAACTCCCCTGCGCACAGCGCAAAGGTTTATTATTTATTAATTTGTACATGTACAGTTCCGCCATCCAGAGGTCAGTAACACCAAGAACAATATGATTGTAGAGATCTCTTGACGAACAGGCTGTGTCGGTGCAATATATCTGCTGAAATGAAACGCTGCTGCCCTCTGAGGACTCTTCTGTGCTGTACTCTGCCATTTCACTCAGGAAATCAGAGATAAAGAATGAAGTGTATTTCTGCATTTCTACAGGGTTCCAGTGCAATTCACCATAAATCTGAACATACAGGTTAGTAGTGGTACATAAATGGGTATAGTAGAGCTACAGTAAGCATTGTCGACATGGATTATTGGGGGGAAAGGAATATAAAAATTACAACCCTGTCCACGTAATGTTGGCCTAAATGCTGATGGTAAGTCTCAGACTACAACTCTAGTCAGCCTTCTTTCCTTGGAAAACAATCGGACTTGTATAAAAATAACACTGCAAGTCAGCTAATCACAAATCAGCCTCCACCAGGCTCTGGTGAACTGGTAGACTGATATCGGATCGGCTGAGGATGCTCTTAGTACTGGTTTATTAAATCTGTCACCAAGAAAAGCATGGCTGCTACAGAGACTAATATGGCCATAATAGGACCGATTCTGCCCCTGATTCAACAATCCCAAAGCAATGCTCAAGCTGGGGAACATGCTAAATAGAGCTACCTTAGGGGGGAGATAGTGAGCTCAGGCATTTAAGGAGCTTGTTATTGGTCAAAGGAAATTTCCATCTTGCTGGGATCTATCAGGCTTCGTATAAGTGACTTAAATGGACGATACCTCGTGTGCTTCTTCCTCCTGACAGGCAAATCCTTGAGTATGTGTTGGGTCCCTCTGTGCTGCTCAGGCCCACCTTTCATTCTCAGGGAGATGTCTGTCTGTCTATGACCAGCCTTTACTGG